CCTTTGTCCGGGGGCTGCCCTCCCTCCCCCGCGGGGACCGGCCTCCCGCTGCCCCGGGCTGCTCCAGCGTGTCCCCCCCGGTCCCTCCCCATCCCATGCCAGTTCTCCCGGGGCCGGTGGCTGCGTCCCCACAGCAGCAACCGGGAGGAATTGAGCTTCGAATAAACGGTGGGGCCGGGAAGGACCGCCCCCCCCCCCCCCCCGGGGGCTGCACGGCGGTGCCAGCCACAGCATCACTGCAAAGAGCCTTTATTTGGTACCGCGAGCCCGCCAGCCCGGATCGGGGGGACGCCCCACGGCATGTCCCGTCTGTCCATCCATCCATCCATCCGTCTGTCCGTCCATCCGTCCATCCCATGGAGGGGGTGGCTGTGCCATTCCCAGTGTCCTGCTGCCTACCAGGAGCACAGCACCACCTCCCGCAGCGTCCGCCGGAGCTCCTGGCTCCGGAAGACATAGATGAGGGGGTCAACCACCGAGTTGCAGATGATGAGGATGAGGAAGAGGTTGAAGTAGCTGAAGAAGCAGGTGCAGAAGGGGTTGGTGGGACAGGTGACGATGAGGATGAGGTGGAAGAAGAAGGGCCCCCAGCAGATGAAGAAGACGCCCAGGAGGATGGTGAGCGTGATGGCTCCCTTCAGGCTGCTGCTGCGGTAGATGGTGGGCTGCTTCTGCTGGCTGGAGATGCTGCAGAGATGGTGGCGGGCCAGGGCGAACATGTGGATGTAGAGCACCAGCATGAGGACCAGCATGAAGAGGAAGAAGCCAATGAGGCAGAGGAGGATGGCGTTGTTGCGGTAGTAGGTGATGAAGATGGTACTGGAGACGGTGCTGGCCAGCCAGACGCTGGCCATGGTCACCACGGCCCGTTGCAGCGTCATGATGCTGTGGTAGCGCAGGGCGTAGAAGATGGTGATGTAGCGGTCCACGGCGATGACCCCCAGGAAGGAGAGGGAGGACACGATGGAGCTGCAGATGAGCATGTCGATGACGTTGTCCATGTGGCGGACGATGCTGGCGTGGATCACCAGCACGCCGTGCTCCATCAGCAGCATGAAGAGTGTCTCCACCAGGTTGCTGACGCTCACCAGCATGTCGGAGACAGCCAGGCAGCAGATGAAGTAGTACGTGGGCGAGTGCAGGTTCCTGTTCTTCAGGATGGCAGCCACGACCAGCAGGTTCTCCACCAGGCTCACCAGCCCCAGCGTGAGGAAGAGCTCGTTGGGGATGTTGAGCCCCTGGCACCAGGCGCTGCCGGCCCCGGCCGTGGCATTGCTCTGGTTGCCCTCACTGGCGTTCCAGGGCTCACGCAGCAGGCGCAGGGGGGCCAGCGTCGACATGGCCCCTGCCTCAGCCCCAGGGCCCCCCTAGCTGGGGGCTGAGCCCCCGGGGCCCCCCGCAGTGCCTGCAGACACTCCAAGCCCCTGGCCCACCCCGCCAGCGCTCCTGCAGTGCCTGACGGCGAGGCTGAGGGGACGCAGAAGAATTTGGGACGGGGCGGGGGGTCCCACTGCCTGGGGCTGTGCCGAGGATGCCGTGTGCCTGCCGGGACCCCCGGTGTCACAGCCGTCCTCCTCGCCAGCCCTGCCCGGTGTCCCTGCAGCCACGCGCCCGCTGGCCCAGGGTGATGGGGAAGAAAGGGCCTTTTCTCTGCCCCACTTTAAAGCCGGCTCCTGCGGCTCCTCCTCCCGAGGAGGGTGGGCACCCGCATGACGGAGGCACCCGGCAGCCGAGGGAGCCACCGCGGAGGCCGGACCCCCAGCACAGCTCTGGGGAGCCCAACTGCTTGGGGTCACCATGTGCCACTTGCCCTGAGGGGCGTCCACGCACCCCCGGGGCTGTGCACCTCCACAGGGGTCTGTGCACCTTGGGGTCCCCAAGTGTCCTGGGGTCCTGTGTGCCCGGGGGGGGATCCCTGCACCCTGTGGGACTCTGTGTCCCCAGGGGGGTCCCATGTGCCCTCCAAGCTTTTGTGCCCTGGGTGGGTGCCTGCACCCTGGGGACCCCAGTGGGACCCTCCCCACTGCAGGAGCCAAGCTGCCCCTCCCAGCCCCCATGTGTGGGGCCGGTGGGGGGACACAGGGCTCCCGACCCCACAGCACCACTGGCCTTGCTTGACCCAGCCCTGGGGAAGGTGTTTTGCCGTGGGGGCGGGCAATGGGTTCCAATAGGGAATGTCAAAGGCACAATGAAACGCCATGCCGTGCCCGTGCCCCGGCAAAGCCCGGTGCCGGAGGGAGCCCGGGCAGGCTGGGGGGGACACGGGACCCATCTGACCATCATGTGCCTTGGGTTGGTGTTGATGCCTGGAGCCAAGCAGCTGCCAAAGAGCCATTCACGGCCGCATGAAAAGGCCGATCCCATGGTCGTTCCCACCAGCCACTTCCGCTCCTTCCCGCCGAGCACCGGGAGCCCTTTCCCCGTCGCATCGAGCACCCCCAGGCTCCGGTAGGGATGAAAGCAGCTCAGTTGGATACACCAGGAATGGGGTCTGCCACGGTGCCTTGCTCACCCCGAGTGCTAAGGCTCAGCCGTGCGTCGAGCCAAAGCCCCGCTCTGGGCAAGAAACGGCAAAAACACTGCTCATCCCTAAGGAAATGCGAGCAGGAGGGATTGGGATCCGGATCAACCCCCCCCTGACACACACACACACACACACCTTTCTCAGCTGCCGCTCGGCTAAAGAGCATGGCTGGTACGTGCTGTGAATTTTTAGCTTTATCAACAGAGGCTTTGAGAGCAGGGCGAGGGGAAAAAAAAAAAACCCAAAAAAAAAAAAAACCAAAAAAAAAAAAAACCAAAAAAAAAAAAAACCAAAAAAAAAAAAAACCAAAAAAAAAAAAAACCAAAAAAAAAAAAAACCAAAAAAAAAAAAAACCAAAAAAAAAAAAAACCAACAAAAAAAAAAACGCCGAGTCTGCAAATCCAAGGCCCGGCGAGTGAATTCTGTGCCGTGGGATTGGGATGTGCCGGTGGGGATGGGGCCGGGGGGCAGGTTGGCCTGAGCCCTGGGGTCTGCGCTGCAGCGCAGACCCCAGGGCTCAGGCCAACCTACCCCCCGGCCCCATCCCCGCTCATCCAGGCTGCTCCCCAGGGAAGGGAGGCAGCAGACGAGCAGGAAAAGGAGAGGGGGGGAAGGATTTATTCCGGGCAGCAGAGCCTGGCTCAGCATTAGAGACACATACACATCGTTACACAGCAGAAAAAGGGGAAAAAAAAAAAAAAAAAAAAGGCTTTGTGGCCAGGAAAAGGATGAGCTCAGGGTTCGAGTGCTGCTGACCTCATTCCCGGCTCTGCATCGCTTCGTGTCCCCACGTGAAGGTGGGGAAATGAGGAGGGGAAGGGGGGGAAACAAAGGAGGAGGGGATCCTTTCTGCTCACAGAACGGCTGCGGCACAAGGAAAAGCTGCTCCACACGCACCTCCACCGGGAGAGCCAGGGAGCTCCTGCCAGAGCACGGTGTCCCTACTGGTTTGGGCACCCCAAGCCCTTCATCAGCAAAGCTGGAAGGGCCAGCAGCTGGAGTGCTTCATGGAGGGAAGGAGGCTTGGGGCTGCAAAGGGCAGCAGGGCTCAGGAGACATGGGAGAGGGGGAAAAACCCCTCCAAGTCTTTCAAACACAAAAGCAGGAGAAGAGCAGGCAAAGGGAAGGGCACAGCAAATGTGCTTGGAGGAGGCCAGAAGGGGACTAAGCTGACTTGTGGCCGAGGGACAGCTGCTGTAGATTAGCTCCGCCACGTTCAGACAGTCCTCGCCACCCGCCGAGAGCCAGGGGAAGTGCCCGTGGTGGTAGCACACACCCCACACCCCCCCAGACAGAGCCCATCCCCGCAGCGAGAGCGGGGAACTTGGTTTTTGTATGACTTTATTGGAGAGCGAAAGAAAAGGGCTGATCACAGAGGGTTGCAGGGGTTGGGAGGGGGGAAAGACGCGCACTCTCAGCTCAGTCCCACTCTCCGTCGCCTTCAGGATTGTCATCTCGGGGGGGCTCCTGAAACTGGATGTTGGCCAGCATGTCACGCATGGCTGCCATGAGCCTGTTCACCCCCTGGTTAAGGTCCTGCCCTGCTCCAGCCTCTTCATCCCTCTCGTGCCTGATGTCCCCCTGCAAGAGAGCAGAGCTGGAGGGGCCGGGCAGGGAGCTGTTTCCTCCCCCCCCCCCGCCACCAGCTGCAGCAGGCGAGGAGGGAGACAATGCCGCTTGCCAAAAAGCATCGGGCTGCTCTGCAACCTGACGTTTACACACTGCATATGCCAAGAGCCACTCCCTTTGCAGAAACACTGTGCAGTGGGAACTTGGGCGCACCGAGAGCGGCGGCGGCAGCAGCAGCAGCAGCGCGCTCTGCTCTGCCCGCAGCAGCTCCCTGCACATACCTGCAAGTTAAAATTTGGCAACAGCGATCGGAAGAAGAGAGATAAAGTGCTTTCGTTGGATGGGTGATTCGTTCTGAAAGACAGAAGTCGCACCACGGTTAAGGGGACAGGCTGGTACTCGACTTCTCGCTGGGGCTGAGACGGCGCAGGGATGCTGGGGAGAACCACGCTGTCTGGAACCACCCCACGGCCCCTCCCGAGCCAGCCCCGAAGCAGGGTATTGGGGGATTCTCAGGGATTTCCCACCAGCCAGCAGCTGGCCAGCTGTTGTTAAAAGCACTGCTGTTTGCTGGGAGCTGGGTCAGTGCATAAGACTCGTACAGGCTTCACCTGAGCGGTCTGCGCACACCACGGCGGCTGCGCTTAGACCTGTATTTACTCCAAACCACCTCGGGTAAGAAACAGCCAGAATTTTTCAATGGCCTTTGCTTTAATGGCTGTGAACAGCCACCGTCTCCGGCGGTGACCATCAAGGAAAAGCGGCAGGACCAGTCCTGCCTGTATGCTCTGCCTGTCGGCGAGCACCACAAGCCAGGCAGCTCTTCCTCCAAGATGGAGGAGGAGGATGTCAGCTCCGAGCTCCCACATGCACCCAGGCCTGGGGCTGAGGGCGCGCCGGGAACACGCCGGCTGCGCCAGAAACCAAGGGCGGAGAAGGTACCTTTCTGGTCTGGTGTAGGAAACGATGGAGTCCAGAGGAGGCAAGGGGTCGTACCCCATCACGGGCTGCGAGGTCACCTCCTGCGTGGTGGGAGGGGAGGGGGAGAAAGAGAAGAAAGAAGGGGTGAAGGCTGCGTCGTCAGCAGCAGCAAACACCGAAGCACGGAGATGGCCAGACCAGCTGGACAGCCCTTTGTCTCAGGGAGCGGAGCAGAGCTGAGCACCAGCCACAGCCCAGCCTGCCCGTACATGCCCCCGTGTGCAGCCCCAGGGAGGACACTTTGAGGTCAGACCCACGTTTCTTGCTGGTGGCTGGGGTTTAAGACGTGCCCGGCTTCCGCAAGGACGGCAGGGACATGAGCGCCATCACACTGCACACAGCAGTGCTGCCTGTGCCCTGTCAGAGCCCCTCACCAGAGGTAGAGCTGCCATGGCCTCCTTCACCTCCGAGAGGATGATGTGCCGGTAGATATTCCTGGGTGCGCTCTGGTACAGCGTTTTTCTCCTAAAGCAGGGAGGGGAAGAGAGGATCGCACAGAGCACACCTCAGCATAGCCAGCTTTCCATTTCTGCTTCTCTAGGTGCATCGTCAGCTTCATCCCTGGCTCTGGGGGGGATGTGCTGTATTGGACAGAGCTGGCCTACAGCGCAGCCAAAGTCACTTGGCAGCTGCTGACCTCAGATGAAAGAGCGGAACAGCTCAGGGACACTGCACAGATCACTCTCACCAGTCCTCTTCCTCTGCAGGTCAGCAAACTAACTTTGGTTTAGGACAAGACCCAATTTTTCCCTCTCCTGTTTCTCAGAGGTGGAAGGTGTTTCTACGCACTCACCTGCTCTGTGTAATAAATACCCGTGAGCCGTGCCCCTCCCAGCCAGCACCAACCCCTCTGCCCTCCTGGCTGATTTCCAGGGCACACGTGATGGCCGAGGCTGGGGGAAGCCAGCGTAGCACACACCCCTCAGTGAGCAAAAGCTACAGCTTTTAATTCACGTTTGTGCAAAATATGGAAGAGCTTCTGCCTTCCCGGCCCCAAGGTGTAACCCTTAGCACCAGCAGCCACCATCAGATGGGCAGTTGTGGGGCTCTGAGCAAGCCCCAGAGCTGCTGCTGCTGCTTGGGACAGAGCTCCTCTTGTCTACAGAGCCCCCCAGCCTGCTCTGTCCCCGAGTTCCAGCACCCAAGCCTGGTACGAGAGCCGCTCACCTCCACCTGCTGCACTCACTTGTGCTCAGACTCCTCCACCAGCGGGTCCCGGGCGTCCACCATGCGCAAGACCTCGTGGACGTTGGGCTCCAGCCACGCCATGACGGCTGGGTCCTTCCACAGGGAGTGAGTCCTTCCCACGTAGAGGGACGTCAGCTGGTTCAAGGCAGGAGGCTGACTACGGGAGACAGTTGTTATTCAGGGCACTCTCCTCCTTCCCGCCTGCAGGTCCCTGTGCTGGCTGGCAAGGGCTCGTCTCTGCACTGTGCTTCGGCGTGAGAACACAAAGAGAGGAATCGCAGGCTCCCTGCTTTGCTATTTCCATCTACCTTCACCAGTTTTTCTGCCTCCATCTATTTTTGGGATAAGCATAGCCATGAGATGAAAGTACACGCTGCCTTGACCCGAGGGGGAGAGCATTCACGTGTTTAAGAGGACCACGTGTCAGGGAAATCCAGACTGGTAGGAGACAGCCTGCCCTGAGAGCACACACATGTTGTTCTCCCTTACTACATGTACCGACAAACTTCAGTATGAACTTCTGACCCGTCCACATTAAGGTGAGTCGGCTCTATTAGCATTATCTGCTGGCCATTATGGAAATCCATTATCAAAGCATCTAACAGCCTACTCGGGAAAACCAAATATTCTCCTCCGCAGCTTTGTAACTCCATTAGCTGCCTGAGCAAGCAAAAGCCCCACTACCGGCAAAATCGATTCCTTCTCTTTACCGAGAACATCTCCAGGGCTTACCTTATCTGAGCATTCAGCCCAAAATAGGAATGGGACGCGACCCTGGCGTCGGGCTGCACACTGCAGTGATCCAACAACGGCATAAGAACTGCAGGAGAAAGTCAGAGAGCTCGCTTTCAGTAGCCTGGCAAGGAGCACCGTGGCCCGGCCGGTCACCACTGCCAGGGCTGCAGAGAGACAGCCCCATCCTGGAGGTGAGCCCCCCACCGGGGCGCTGAAGGAGGGTGCAGGAAAGGAGGGTGCGTGGATGCTGCTGGGGGTTATGCTGCGTTTTGATCTCTGTGTGGGTGATGGAAACAGATCCAGAGTAAGCAAAAAAAAGAACAACATTTCCCCAGTGAAATAAGGTGCAATTTTCTGCACTTAATGCTGCTGGCCTTTGAACTTGAACAAGGGATTTATTTCAGTCACCATGACAAGCAGCAAAAAAGATGTTTTCAGCCAACACAAACTAAACCTCTGTTCAAGAGCTGGTTATTCCTGCGCATAAAGACACACCCTCCTGGGCCCAGAGGGGCTGTATATCTCCTTTCATGGACAAGAGCACCAACTGGATGAAAGCAAGAGTGATGGGTGCCCATAGAGAGCACATCTAAAGTGGAGCAGTGCCTCGGAGGGAAAGCCGAGAGAGACTTGGTGTCTCTGGTCTGGCCAACCCTGAGGTGAAACATTTTCCTGCTCCGAGACCTGGGTTCTCATCCTCCCCCAACTCGCACACCCGTGACAATCTCTAATGAGGGGGCATCAGCTGCTCCGAGGAGGGTGCACAGCGGGGAGAACAGTCCCCGACCTCCTCCCAACACATGGAGGGTTCACAGCTGCAGGGGCCCCACATGGTTCCACTGTCCTCTTGCCAGTGCCACGGCACGGGAAGGCCAAATCCCACCACCACCACACCAGATGCAGGTAGAGCAGTACCCACCACTGCCCGAGCTGCCTCACCCTCTGAGTCAGGGCTCCCATCTCCCACAGACAGAGGCAAACGCCATTTGCAACCCGCAGGCAAACTGCTGCCTCTGCATTTGACTGCCTGGAATCCAGGCTTCACTCTCACAGATGAAGACAGTGACAAAGCCTGCGGGGACGGACTTACCGGTGGGGACAGACTTACCGCTTGGGAACATGATCAACGCCAGCTGGATGAGCCGGGCAGCTTTCTCCCGGGCTTGGCTTTGCTCCAGCTCCGAGCGCTCCTCCTGCTGGCTCAGGAAGAAATAGGCCAGCGGCACCGAGAAGGCAAAATTGGGGAGCTGGGACAAATTCCGGTGACTCTGCAGGACGAGAGACAGATTTACCGAGAAATGATGCTATGCAGAACAATCTCGATGTGGCTGGGCTGCGCACAGGGTGGGGTTTCTTGCTTGCTGGATTAAGTTACTTCCCAGCCATTGGCTTGGTGCCCCCACAACTGAGTAAGCAATTTGGAGTTGGTACAATTGTTTGTAGGGTACCAGGATTACAAGAACACACTCTTTCTGGGTCATTCTGATGATTTTGGGATGCCAGCCTGGCCATGAGACAGCCCTCAAAGGGCCAAGCTGGTTCAAAAAACCTCATGCTCTGATCCAGCCTCCCCCTCCAGTCCAGACCAGTTGGGGAGAGCCCCAGGAACCAATACTCCCCTCTCTGCCCCCTCTCTCGCCAGGGCAGCCTGTTGGTAACTCACCTCCACCTCCTGGAACATGCGGGTCAGGAAGGTGTATTCTCTAGCTCGGAGGGAGAGGAAATCAATCAGCAGCAGCACACACAGCGGGTCGTTCTCTGGATCAAGGCTTCAGAGGGAGGCGAGCACAAGGGGAGGAAACAAAATCAGTGTCACAACAGCTGAAGTATCTGTCCTCATTTCTAAGTCAAACAGGACTTTCCCATTAGCATCCAGAGAGCTTCTGTGACTCAGCAAGTGAAGATAACGGGAACAGGATCATTCCTGCACTGGCAGGATGACGGTGCAACACCTGGTCTGCATCCCTCAAGAGGGGCAACAGTTCCCCCGTCACCACACAGGAGGAGGATCAATGGCCACAAACTGAGCACACTAAAGCCACTGTTGCACATCTGCTCCACAGAAACTCTGAGCTCAGCTATAATAACCAGCCAGGGCTGGAGACCAGCAGTCAACAGCAAGGGCCACCCAGGTCCCATCTGTTTAAGCCTCCTTCTCAACGATGGCCTCTCTCCAAAGCAGCACCACAGATAAGGGCATGTGCTCAAAACTAACCTGTGACACTGCAACTGCAAGGAGTGGAAACAAGCCCTCACTGAGCCTGGGAGCAGCAGTACACCTTGGGGGGGTTTTCCCTGCCTGGGTTAGGTTTGGTGCATTGCTCGAGGCATGTTCCCCCAAAACTGAGACACCCTGTCACCTCCTGCAAGGAACAGAGCACAACCCTCAGCGGTGGCACCTACCTCAGAATCAGCTTGCAGAACTCCAGGGCTGTCCGGGGACAGCCTCTCTTCTCCAGCAACATCAGGTGCTTGAAGAGAGCCAGGAAGAAAGACCTGTGGGGGGGAACAGGAATAGGTTTTAGAAGCCAGATTTGGAGAGAAGTATCTCATTCCACTTAAGAACAGGGACCCAGAGTCAGCCCCATCTCCTTACCCCCTGAGCATCAGCACTACAGTGCAGCCAGGGGACTCCAGGGGACTCAGCCTGATGCAGTACAAGGTGACACAGACCCTCCATGATCCCATCTCTCTCTCTTTTTTTAAATTTATTATTTCTTTATACCAGCATAGGGACAGCAAACCCGTGGCCTGCTCTGTCCCTGCTCCCCAAGGCCCTGCAACTCTGCGCTCTCGCAGATTGGCCGACAACTCAGGACAAGAGAAACAAGTAAATCCCCGAACTCTGCATCCTGCCTTGTCCCAGCCTGCCCAGCCACACGGGGACAGTGACACAGTGCACACATGATGTGTACGGGGGGAGGACTAGGGACCAAATCGGGCACGATACAGATTGCTGCCTTCAGGTCACAGACGGCACCAAGCTCATCAGCGAGCAGGTACTGGAAATCCGAGCAATCTCCAGGTACAGCAGTTTGGGAGGGATGACTTGGGTCAGCTGACTGGAAAATTCCCAGAATAAAGTCACCTTTCCCCGCAGCTGCAGAGCTGTCATTACATAAAGAGCCGGGCTGGGAGCAGCGTGAGTGCTGGGGACAAAGGCCGGGTAGATAGCACAAGCGACCAAGCGCAGCCATAAACACACAGTGAGTATTTTTGTGACAAAAATAAGTGCCATTTTGAGCTAAGGGGTACTAATTGCACAAGAAGGATGTGACGGGGGGAGCAGTTACTGCTCCAGTAAGAAATCCCCCAGGAAAGAAGATGCTTTGCAAAGAAACCTCAGTACAAGAGCTGCTGGTTACCCAGCACCCATCTGAGGGGCCCTGCTGCTGCCCTGCTGAAGGGCACTGCCACCGACCACCGAGTGGCAGAGCTTGTTCTGACAGCAAGGGACATTCAAGGTCCCCCGCCACAGCGGATGACGCAGCAGACGCTGTGAATCTGGGTCTCCGTGTCCAAAGTAGGCCAGGGCACACCGCGACGGCTCTCCAGCAGACGTGGGGCAGGCCGGTGTGCCACCTACCTGTTCTCTGGCCGCCGGTAGTCCAGCCTGCAGGTCCCGCTGGTGAGACTGAAGAGGGGGTGGAAGGAGCACTCCAGGCTGTACAGCGCCTGCTCTGCAGACAGCAAGGACAGTGTCAGGGCATGCCACCACCCCGGCACCCCACACAGCCCCACTGCTCACGAAACAGCAGTCGATTTAGCCCAGAAGACACTGATAATTGAGAGCTCTGGCATGAAATAAGCTTGTTCACAGCCCAAGTGAGGCACAAAGCTACTTCAGAGTATGTGGTTGCAGCAGATACCCAGGCAAGCAAGCCTTGCCCCCTTATGAGGGCATTAGATCATGCTCCAGTTGGGAAAAGTGGCTCTCCTGAAGGAGGTCTGGGATTGAGGCTGGTACAGCTGCCTCTGCCACAACTATCTTCACACAGGGAAGCTGAAGGTTGTCCTCTCCTCACCTCTGGCCCCTCTTATCATGCTGCAGAGCACATGCCCCTGTTACCAAAGAGCACATCTCAGACACCAGGCTGCAGCAAGGCAGTCCAAGGGGCAGCCATCCTCCAGGATGCCTCCCGCCCCCACGCAGCCTGTAGTGCCCTGAGGAGCAGAACCCAACGTGCTGACCTGCAACATCCTGGTCAGAGGAAGGCAAAGGAGGCTGACCCAGAGGGCTGGGCAGGCTCCCTGCAGAGGGCACAGGCTTCCTGGAGCAGCCCTCACACTGCAGGACCTGGTAACTACTAAATCAGACCCTCCTCCTGCAAGGGATGTCCTAAAGGTGAGACTCCCATCACATCCAGCCAATCTGTCCATTCATTCTGAAGGTGAGTGCTGATCTGCTTTGTCCCAGACAAGCGCGTCCAGCTCTATTTAAAAGCCTCCAGCAAAAGCTGCTGGTCTGCAGGATCACATAAGGCCAAGTGCTCATGGCCCAGAGCTACAGACACAACCCAACCAACCCTTCTGGTTTGCTGCCTCTCTGTTGAAACAAAACCAGAACTGAACCAAAACCCCCTTGATTACTAATTCTGGCCAGGACATCTGCTCCTCACTTCAGCTCTTACCTACGAGCTCACGGGCCATCTCCTGATCCTCCTGCATCCGGCACACGTCGCTGAGCAGCAGAAGGGAGTCCACATGGTACGGTTCCAGTGCCTGAAGCAGCGGCTACACAAGAGTAGGAGCTTGATTACATGATGGCACAAATCACAGGTTTCTCATGCACTCTGCCTATGAGGCAAGCTCTGTAAGTGTGGCAGGGAGGCAAATGCCCTGACACCGTGCCTACGAGAAAGAGGTTGGTCCTGCCCCTGGCTCTGAAGGTGAAGAAATCCTGTCCCACACCATCAGAAAGCCAGTGCTTGGACTGTAGTGCAAGGCTGGGGACGCACCTCACATGAAAGGCTAAAACTATGGATTAAAAGAACCTAAGAACTGTCACACTGGGTCAGATCAGAAGTCAATCTTGCCCTTTCTTCAAAAGGAAATGCCTGAGGAAGAGGGCACAAAGTCGGGTACGTGTGATAATGCCCAGCACTCTCTAAGCTACCAACCTTTAGGGGTTCAGGGACCACCACTGTCAAAGATGCCATTGATAGTAATGGTGTCTTCTCCCATTATTTTGTTCACTTACCGACCCAGGTACCTTTCTAGCAACCCAGCTCTGCGATACAGAAAGCTACCACTTAAGCACCCAATGCAAAGAACTTCCTTTAATCCCAGCCTGCCAGCTCCATCCCTGTGCTGGAAGGGCCAGCAGGGAGATCTTTCCCCAACTCCACACAGGATTTGGGCCCTTGACCGCAGCTTCCCTCAGGCACCTCCCTCCTGGTCAACCCACCTTTTCCAGCACAGAGGCCATGTCAGCCCTTTGATCATCTTTGCTCTCCTCCTCTGAATCTCTCCCAGCTCCACCATATCCTTTTGAAGGTGAGGGCCCAGAACTGCATACAATATTCCAGATGCAGGCAGCAGGCACACTTGCATTTTTTGGTTTATTCTCTATCCCTTAACAATTCTGAGCATGTGATCAGGCTTTTGCTTCCTCTGGGTACCGAGAGGACGTTGTGACACATCTACTACAATTCTAGGATCTGACTCCTGAATGATAATGGATTTAATGTATTTTTTTGCAAGCCTCAGAGTAGAACTTTAAGCACACCTCAAAAACCTATGCATTCACTAATTATATTATAAATGGGCTACTTTTTCCGAGTGCCTAAAATTCAGTTTCAATATGAAAATACAGAAGCTACTTCCAATCTCCTCAAAGTTCAATATATATTTTTTTCAAAATTTAAAAAAAATATGCCTTCAAAAGCTCCAGAAGTTGTACCTCTGCAGGGTGGTGGCCAGCATACCCACATACAGTACAAAGCCTTTATGTTCCAGGCTGTCCCAGCCCAGCACCTTTGCATCAGACCCAGTCGCCTGACATTTTACCCCTTCCCTGCTTGCTATCAAGTTCCTTTCTAGTCTTTTTTTTTTGAAGAGATGGAGCATATAGGGTCATTGTGACTGGAAAAAGCGCTCTTCATGCACTTCCAAATTCACCAGAAAACCCCTTTTAACCCACTGGCAAGAGCAGAAAAACACTCAATGAGCAGGACACCAAAAAAATCACGTCTTGCATGCTGAAACCATAGCAGCAAGACAGATCTGGATTCCAGCTACGTGAAACTGTGGCCGTCACAGATAAACTGGTTGGAGGTTTGAAGTACTTCTGGCATCAGCAAACCCTTGTCTGTAAGATCTTACCCTTAACAGGAAATAGAAAGACTAAAGCTGTAGGAGTATCTTCAAACATAACCAGACCCACTTAACAGTGGGTCTTTTAGTCTAAAGACTTAAAATATTCCATAGAAAACCCATCCTGCTCTGCACAGCCATGAGACCGTGTCTGAGCTGTCCTTAGGACGCTAGCTCTCGGGCTGGTCACTGCTGCATAGGAATTACTTCGCATCGTTTAATGCGAATCCCAGCCCAGTGAGCAGGCAGAACTGATGAGCTGGAGGGAGCAGTGGCCACGAACAGAGTGTGGGAAAGCAGAAGGAAGTAAACTTTATTTAGTACACAATGGCCTCTTTAAGAAACTTCTCCAGGGACTTTTATTCCTACTCTTTCAGCCAAATGGTCAGTTCCTGAAGGCTCCTCTTCCAGATGGCTACCTGCCACGCTCTCGGCAGAGCCACCGAGGCTCCACCACCAGCCACTGGACCTCATCTGCCTCAAGGTGGTCACTTACAAGGTGAAAGCAGAGCTCAGCAAGCAATGCTGCCTCGCCCCACACAGAGGGGGCACATGGCTCTGCTGCTCAATATGAGACTGACAAAAAATAAGCCCTGGAATGCATCAGCCCAACCTCCCCTGCCAGGGAAAGGGGCTGCAGGAACACAGGAGGTAACAGCATGGGCAACCCAATCTCACAACGTACCACAACACTGTTGGGGTCCATGGTCTCTACATTCTCCAAGAACTTCAACTGCACTTCCTGGTACTTGCGATGGTGCTCAAAGGTGAAGTACTGCACTCCCCCCTTGGTGTCCAACAGCTGCATGACAATACCTAGAAGGTGCAGAGGAGACATGGGTAGCACTGCTGCCAGCCGGCAAGCACAGCAGCAAGAGAAGGTCTTCTGCTTTCTTATCACAAAAAAAGCTCATTCTCATCATTGGGTCCGGAGCCAGATGTGTTACCGGAAACTCCCAGAGAATTTCACTTCTTTCCCTTCTCCCATGAGTCAAAGTCCAAAACCCACCCGATCTCCTCAGGGATATTTCTCGTTATCCAGCAAGACTGCTGTTAAGAAGGGAAGCGCTCATCACCTGCTACTTCCAATAAGGGGAACACTAAGATACAATACAACAGAGTTCTCCCTGTTGAGAAAAGAGGTATTTTCCATCAGCTGACGAACAGTTCCTTTTCTGCATCAGCCAGCACGAAGCCTGGGCCTGGCAGCTGATTAAAGCAGCTCTGGTTTCCATGCGTGGATGCTCTAGGAAAGCCAGGCTGGCAGGAGCAGCCATCCGTGCCAATACGGGCACAGGACTGAGGTGCCCTGGCAGCCAACAGCAGCACAGTGCTTTTGGGAGGTGGCAACAAAAGCCTCACCTGTTCTTGTGTAGCGTGGCCAGGTGCTCTGGGGAGTTGTCAGCCACGTGCCACGGACACACTGGCGCTGCCTTTGCCTGAGGAAAGTAAACATGACAGGTCACAGTTTCTCTGTACGAACAGAACGCAGAGGGCTGAAAGCAGCCAGAAAAACGATGATTCAGGGAAAAAGAGATCCAACTTCTTCCCCAGCTGCAGCCCTGCCACATGGAACTTTTGCCCAGAGCTTCAACATGTTTTGCCTTCAAGACACAACATACCTTCGCTCAGGCTCTGCCTTACTTGAACCATTCCTCTTTGGGCCAGCCAGTGCCTCCAGCACTTCCACTTCAATAGCTTCTCTCCCCTGTTTTTATTCCTGCCAAGTTCTCAGGTGCCTCTTTGCTTCCAACAGCTTCCCAGGTCCAATTAAGAGAGCCCCATATCCCTCTGACTCATCTCTCTTCCCAGCCGCGCCTTCAAATGTCAACTGATTTAGTTAAGCCGTACTCACAAATGCAACCAATTTATTGGTTCGGGGAAGGAAGAACTTCAAAATCAAGGCTATTCTGAGGAAGTCATGTCTCCTCAGTACGGGACTGCTGCTTCTTCATCAAGCACTAAATATTCTTCTACAGACTCTCTCAGAGAGGCTTCTGCTACTATCATCACTGCTCTGAGCTTATGCCCTTCTTATGTGCACATTTTTAAAGCAGTTCATGAAAGCAGGGATTTCTGGATAATGCTGAGAACAGTGCAATGGATAACTGCATAGAGACCTCACACCCAAGAAGCCAGCAGTAAGTTCCCTGGGCCCCTGGAAGCAAGCACAGGAGATCCCCAGAGAAGTATTCAGGGTCCATCCGAGATTTTGGAATAGCAACAAGCAACAAATGCTGGAGAAAGTTAAAAAAATATATATCTAAGAGCCTATACTCTGAATTTGAGTGAAAGGACTTTAGAAGGGCGTTTGACAGTAAATGAGAGGGGAAAATCAGCAGAAAAAAAAAAGCAAACGTTAGCAAAAGCCTGGAAAAGTCTTCCTTCCCCACCATATCACAAAAAAGTATGCTATTGTCCCAACAAGTGACTACTAAATGAGTAAGACACCCTAAACCCTGAATTCCCTGCCTAGGTGTGGCACCGGGGGCTCGGTAAGCTGTACCAAGGGAAGGACAGACACACTGACTTGGACTCTGAAAGGGTTTAATATTAAATTCTGGACTAACCTCTGATCACCAAGAACAGCGCGAGCCCCAAAGTATCTCTTCAACTCGTTCTCTGGATTCAAGTTTCTGAGAAAGTTGAAACAAGAAAGAAAAGCTATTGTCAGTTAAACACAGCCCAAAGTCTCACACTCGAGTCTTCTCCATCAGTGCCAAGTGTTCTGTACCTTGAATTGTCTCTGGCCAGTCCCCTGAACTGTCACACACACCACTGATCTGACACAACAATGAGCCTAAAAGTGGTCAGAACAGGAGGCATCAAAACACTTTTTCAATCAGATGCACCCTTCCTTTGCGTTCTGCTCCCAAAAGTCACTGAGCTGGGGAATACTTCTGCTGCCCTCTCCAGGGCAGCTGGGGCCTTAGTCTGGGAATACTCTCTGGAGAGTCCCTGGAGAGTCTCCGTGCAGGACTGTGCACTCAGGGTGTGTGTGTCTGGAAAACACAAGATACCTACCTGCTGCCGAGTCTAGGGTGGCAGCCTGCAGTGTGAGGCAAGCACCCTAACCACTGCACAGAGACTTGCAAGGATTAAAATACCTTTTTTTTTAATACAAAGATCTCATATCGAAGCATGACAACACCTACAGTTTTCTTGACCTAATATTTGGCCAAGAGAAGGGAGAAATGTTTCAGAGGGGTTTCTCTGCCATCCAGCAAGCAGAGCTTCAAGACAGAGTGGAAGGCTGAGATCCAGCACTGACTACCCTCACTCACTTGGGAGATTACCCTGCTCTCAAAGGTTTCTGAATAAGATTTACTTGACCACAGAAGTCACTGAAGTTTAAAACCACCTCTAGATAAACAAATATTCTGCCTTTACTGAAATGTCTCTGAACAGGCTGCACGAGCACCGAGTGCCCACCAGCCTAGGCTCAGTTTTGATGCAGTGTGCCTGAAGGTTTCAAAACTAGGACTGGTAAATTGTCCCAGCTACCAATTTAAAGGTTTTCTCCAACAACAGGAAGAACTGCCAGTGTCTGCACCAGCCCTGGCCTCTGAAACACGGTGGACACACCAGCCAGCCCACTCCCAACAGGTTTCCTAGTGTGATTCAGACCCAGATGATACAGGTCTCTAATTTGAGGCTGACTCATTCTTCAGCTCTCGGACACTCTAGGTGTTTAGTCCACTTTGTTGATGGTGACATGCGGGAAAGGTTAGACAAGTCCAACCACCTTTCCTGGTGAAATTAGCTCTTGGCATTTCTCAGCCCTCCTCAGAGGACAGCATACACTGCACTGGGGCCTGCTGCTCACAGCACCTGGTCTGAATGCAGCCAGTGACCTGGCCAGGAGGGTTTGATTGCAAAGCTTTATGCACCAGGGCACTCAGCAGCTCTGCAGAGATTCTCCCACAGTCACGGAGTGTTCTACACTGGAAAGCGCCTCTTGGAGCTAATCTGGTTCAGTCACCCACTCAAACCAAGCCTGACTGCAGAGAATACCAGTCACTGCTCAGAACTGAACACAGCTCTAAAAGCAACAGTTAGAAACAGGGATGTGCACAACCACTACCACAACCCCTTTCAAGCCAGGTCCTGATTACACCAGGAGGCTCCCAACTCCCTTCCTTGGGGGAAGGGATATCCCTGTCATGGCCAAAGCCAAAATCAGGAAGGAAGCAAGCAGTACCTGTGCTCTATGTAGAGTAGAGGCCTGCTGTCAGCAGTTATACCGCTCTGGGTCTGCTGCAACAGCCCATTGGTATCCTCAATCTTCTCCAGCAGGCTGTCGATGTCTTCCAGGTCGTTGTCTTCCTTAAGATAGGCACATGCAAAGACAAGGCAGTTATTACAGAATGAGTCACCACGACACGCAGGTCACCCACCAGAGATCACACCCAGCTGCCTCTGGGTCCTGAACTCCGTGCGACACTGGTGCAGCCCTTACCACTCACCCTGCTGCTGCCCCATCGCTCACCTCGGGTGCACATGTACCCTCTCTTATTGAGGCCTCCTGCTCTGCACCTGGCACCCTTTACTCCCTCAGGAATCCCACACAGAGCCTGCCTTCCCTGTCCAACTGCCCCTCTAAGGGCTGGTTGCTCTTCCCCGCTTGCTCAAGCTGTCACAGGGCTGCTGCTCTTCACGCCACTGTGAGTTCAAACACACCAGCTGAATATATTCAGGGTGGGCAAGAGCTGGCCATCGGTCTGGTCTCTGGTCTGCCCCTTCTTACCCAGCCTTCACTGTGCTTTGTCAGGTTTATTTATACTACAATCCCTACAGCATCATGAAATGTTGGGGTGCTGATCTTAATCATAAATATTTAAGTAATCAGCCTTGACCATCTACCTTCCACGGAAACACTAAGTTACTGCTGTGACCCTCGTAAGAAGGTATCAAACACTGGAATGATTTTAACCCAGCTCTAACATAATGTACTTGCAATTTCCCCATCTTGTAACAACCCCAAAAATATATCCAGCAGTGCACATTCAACAGTTGTATAACACTTTTATCCTGATTTTCCTCTATTTTTCCTCACAAATAGCAAGTGACGCATTTCTTATGCAGCCGTTTCACATCCTCCTCATGATGTACGTGGGTGGAACACGGAATTCCATTCACAACACCCAAACAGCACTGTGAGCTTGCCTTTTCCAGCTAAATATAGCCACCCCGCGTGGAGTGGATACATGAAAAATTTATAACGTGCTTCGCATTTAAGTGCTTGAACAAAGGTGGTATTATCTCCAGTTACCACATCACACTGCCTGGGCATTAAGTCTCACTAGAGCCTACAGCTTGCAGATGTCACCCTATTGCTCGTTATTCTCGGACTGGGAGAGGAAACTGGCTCTTTGATCAGGTTCTCTGCCTTAGTAACTCGCTCTGAGCTCACCCAGCTGAATTCTCAGGGAGGAGGCAGCCAGCTGGGCATCTACATCGGAGTAACAGCTCACCCATTCAGCACTTCAGCACACTCTGGCTCAGAACGTCTAGCACAGCATCTCCCTCGAGTGAATAGTTAAGATTCCTAAACCTTAGCAAAAAAAACAGCTCCCACTTGAACTTTATTTCTATTGAGTTTAAAAGATCAATGACTATAATCTGTTTAGTCTCCTAGCTTAGCTCAAGCAGATAAAATATATTCAAGCATACACATTTGTCTCTGAGTTTTATCCATAAGAAACAAAGACACTGGACAAAGTTCTCAGTGCAAGCACGCTTCCTTAGGGCTAGGCAGCTTAGACAGAATCACTGTCCCCTTGCTCCCTTCACCACTGAGGGGACACAGCAGGTCCCGTGGGAAGAGCCCTTGGCGGTGCATTTGCTGATAAGACACAAGCAGACGCTCCTGTCACACTCAGCTACCAGATGTCACACCACCAGACATCACACTACAGAGAAGGTGTGCGGCTGTGCACGGAGGAGAAGGAAACACGAACGACAGCTGGCAGCAAGAGCTCTGTGTGGCTCTGCAGAGCAGGGACAGCCACCTAAGTAGGGCAAGGAAAATATAATGAAAACGTAAAATTCCTCACACGGTACCCCCTCCCGTGCAAAGCCTCGAAGCAGAGATGAAAGAAGATGCTGCTGTGAGGATTTCAGCTCTAAGCAGCCGCAGCAGAGCTGCGCCGGTCCCAGCTGCTTGAAGGACCACAGCCAAAAGCTGCTGTTGCCATGTCGTAATTTTAAATTAGTACAATGCAAAACCAAGCATTTTTTGCCTCAAAATTGTTTCTGCAGACACCTCAGAGTATTCACTTTGTCTACGCCAATGCAGAAATTAGCACAGCCACTAACGCTCAGAGCACACACAGACATACCAGAGTCTCCCCTGCTGAAGTTTTCTTGGTTTTTCTTTTCTTTTTTTTCTTTCGCGTCTTGTTACTCAACGTAGGCTGCAAAGAGAAATGGAACAGCTGTCAGAGCATGCCCACGGACTGCAGGGATTAAAGCTCTACCAGGAGCGACCAGCACACCAGGAGGGCCCTTAAATGAAACTAATATTCATCCTTTCAAGTTTTTCAGTGAGTGGAAATTAAGACGTAATGAGAAAATGGAGGAAAGCACCAAATGTTTACAAACGCAAGGGTTAAATTTTAGCCAACTTTCATATGTCTGAGACTGCAAGATCAGGCAACAAACTCTTTAGATATGCCAGGTGTGGAAGAAACGTTTCAGCCCTCCTTTACTCTTTAGAACAAAGTTTATTTCTGACAGTTTCACCAGTGGCTCCAATTTCCACAGAAACCAAAACCTGCCCGAAAGCACCACATGAAATAGATTCGCTGCTGATGCAGCTGCTTCACAGTTCTTGATGCCACACAGCATTCCCTAACCCGACAGGCACACTGCTGCCCACGCTGGCTCTTCCCCAAGACATACAGAGCTAAAAAGTGCATTTCCAGAATCTACACAGGTAACACAGCGAGTTACAGCGTTACCAGAACTATCCCACAGCTCCTGAGCTGACTGCAGAACCAGGGGAACGTGCAGCCCCAATTCAGCTCTATCAAATGGCAGGGAGACACCTGCCGAGGGCTCCCACGTTTCTGTCCAGGAAGCTCCGAGAGAAGCAGCAGGTGCACCCTCCGGTGATTACAGTAAATTCACAGAGTCAGGGCCCACTGGAACCGACAGAGCAGAGCTCACACCGCACATCCAGAGCATTCCCAGGCCTCCGGGCTGTCTGAGGCTACCAGCACAGCCAGACCATACACAGACACTGGTCTTTGCTCCTCTGGTTACACCGCCTGGCACCCAGATCCTACAGAACACCCCAAGCACTGTGCCCTAATGGGTGAGACCAGGGAGCCGATCCCCCTTCACTCACCCCCATCCTCATCTCCAGTAAAACATGGGCTAGACTTGCAACGTCAAATTGTTAAAGCGCCCCCTTCCTTACATGCTCCTCTAAGGAAACACTTCCAAGCTGATACAGACCACAGGAGGGAAACTAAACACAAAACAACAACAAAATGCTCCAGAAAAGAGTAAGTTCAATGTTTAGTTTACATCGCTAGGAATCTTCACACCACCCACTCTAAAACAAATGCTTCACTGATGTCCTAGTTTCAGCTGGAATAGAGTTAATTTTCTTCCTACTAGCTGCTGTTCTGGATTTAGTATGAGAATGTTGATAACACATATTGTTTTAGTTGTTGTTTAAGTAATACTTATATTACATCAAGGACCTTTTCAGCTTTTCAGAGAAGCTGAGAGGGAGCACAGACAGGACAACCTGGCCAAAGGAATATTCCATACCATGGACATCATGCTCAATATATCCCCTGGGTTGGCTGGGGAGCAGGAACCTGTGATTGCTGCTTGGGAGGGACCAGGCAATTGATCACCAGGTGGTGAGCAACTGCACTGCACCGCTCCTTTTGTATATTCTTTTACCATTATTATTATTTTTTCTTCTGTTACTACTCTATTAAACTGTCTTTATCTCAATCCATGAGATTTTTTTTTTCTTTTTCCCTCTCTTCTGGCTATCCCACTGGGGGCAGGGAGGAGTGAGCAGCTACATGGTCCTAGTTGCTGATTGGGGATAAACCACGACAACTGAGCATCTACAGAACAGCCCAGCCCCATGTATGGTGCAGAGCTCAACTAATTGTGCAGTGAAGGGAGCAGAGAAGCAATATCCATTTCAGAATCCCAATGTGCTTTCCTTCCCATGCTCAGCACTCATGAGGACACAGCACAAGGTCTTCCTCAGGAACCTCCCCTCTGGATGTAAAATCTCCCCAGACCTCGGGCACAAACCCAATTCTCAGCACCCTCAGTTCATTCTCCTGCAGATCTGGAGCCCCAAGCACCTGGGTTTAAGCTCCCTGCATGTGCCCCTTCCCCGAGGCTCACATTGTCAGGCTCTGACAAAACCCAGGTGCAAGGGAAGAGAAACATGCTTGTCTGGCACCCACAAAGCTGCTCAGCGCACACAGAAACAGAGAAATAAGAAAACTTCTCTCTGCACCTTGCACAGCAACCACCATCATCACTAGATACCTGTGGTTTAGTTACCGTTTGGTCCGGCTGCTGTGTCTCCTCCCCATCTCTCTGCCCATGGCCTTCAGTTTCTTCAGTTACAGCTCTTTTGTTGTTCCCTTCTGCTGCATCCCGCGCGCTGAGCCGGGCATCCCCTGGCTCCTCTCTGGATGGCAGCTCATCCTCCGACTCCTCGGCAGTGATCTGCACAAACAGATGGACAAGCTGCAAACACGGCCGGCGTGGGGCTGCGCTCTGCCCTCTCCTGTGCCCTGCAGACAGAATTCCCCAGGGATCCTGATCTGTTCCACTCACACCTGCAAATGGAAGATAAAAATATCGCAGAAGCAGCACAGGGCTCAGCTACCCAACTGGCTTCTCCAGCAGACAGACCAGGGATGAACCCTCACTTAAAGTGTGTCACCCAGCAGGTGCCTGGAACGGGCCTGCACCCACCAAATTGCTGGAGGGCCAGGAGAATCCATCCACTGCATGGCATGGCCAGTGGAAAAAGTGCCGCTCTATCTGGACTTTGCTCTTCCTTGAAGAGAGCCTCCAGCCTCCAAAGCCAGCCTTACTTAATGCTCAGGCAGCTAAGCCTTGGGGAAGGACAGGGAACCACTGGGGTTGGCCAAGGTGCCCAAGGACCGACCCACCTGTGCCATCAGGGCCTGCCTGACCCCTAACCTCCAGCACCAGGATCTTGCAGGGCTGGGAAGGTGGCAGGAACGTTCCAAAACTAGTTTCACCCACTGTTTGACGACCTCAGTACTCAGGCCCAGCTCTGACAACATCTAGACCCAGACCACCCAGCTCCTCCCAGGCCTCCCTCTGATTCCCCCCCAGTTTGAGCTGCAGTTGTTACCCCCTCAAGCCCTCCCTAGAGCCCCCATCTCACCACAACTCCCTCCATGTCCTACTCTCCAATTTGCATCCCCCCAGTTGCGTCTCACCCTGGCCCTCCAAGCCATGCACCACCCCAAACCCCTCAGTCCCACCCCAGTCACTGACCCCAAATCACTCCCTCCCCAAAACTGTCACCTCAGTCACCCTCACCCAGCTACCACCCCCTGGGCTCACTGTCATCCCTCTGGGGCACTGCCACCCAGCTCCCCCCTTCCCTCTGGTCACCCCCCAACCTCCCCCTACCCACTGCCCTCCGAATCACTCTCATAAAGTCACTGCCACCCTTCAGTCACCCACCCTCCCAATAACTGCCAGCCCCCACAGCTGCCCCCAGCCACAGCCACTGCCACCCCAGCTGCCTCCTC